CTTACACGTAATCGACTCCCGAACCCAACTTTAATTTTAAAGATTATCCTTTAAAGGGTTTTCCAATGTTTTTCCCTTAAAATAAAATATTGGTGGCGGCTCCATTGAATATAAAAATGTTAGCGTCATCCCGTCGTGATCCCGGTTACGACAGTTCTTTAAACCAAAAGGCATCACCTTATAACAATAGTTTGTTGATTATGTTATGAACGTTGTTTTTTATTCATCTCCTGGGTACATTCTAATTTGGTTATACCTCGAATATGCGTCTAGAAAACTAAAAATTTGATGGCCTCCAGTGCCATCAACAAGTCGATCGATGTTGGGGAGAGGGCATGCGTCTTTAGGACATGCCTTGTTCAAGTCAATGTAATGTGACGGATTTTTTAGAGACGAAGTTCATTCTGTCACAAACTTTTTTTTTATGTAGCGATGAAATTTGTGACGGATTTTTAGAGACGGAATATATTCCGTCACAAAATCCGTCACAAAAGTCAATAAATTCTAGTCCGTCGCAAAACTTAAAATTCCCTCACAAAATGCGTCACTATTAGCGATGCTATTTTTTCTGTCACAAAATTCGTTACAAATATTAATTTTTCTAGTAGTGATTTTAGAATATCGTTCTCCTTATTATTACTATTTAAATTAAGTTTTTATTATGTAAAAAGTAAAAACACATGCAGTTCGGATAGTGTTGCTTTTAATTAGCAAATCAATGTAATTCCTCCTATTTTAACATTTCCATATGTAAGAAAATAACCAGTTTTAAAATAAATTTGCCATGACTTTGCTAGTCGTAATGGGCCCCTTGCCAAATCATACAAGTTTGGATTTTGTAACCTAAGTTGGTGGTTTTGTCTTACCTATTCACATGATAAAAATTATAAATGAATAAAATAAATAAAATGATAATACTTAATTTATTTTTAAAAGAAATTCTTACATATTCTTGAAACCACCGTGGAAAATCAGCTTCTATTTGTTTATAAATGATATCATCATTGAGATTTCCATACAAACCTTTCAATCTTTGTACATATATACTACATAAGATATTTATTTAAATTAGATGACTATTGGTAGAAAAATTGATTGACATATAAGTAGTGTTTGATACTCACTTGATGAACGGTTTAACCTCATTACAATTCAAGAGAACATGCAATTGTGTAGCCAATAACTCTTGATCATTGAGCCATCTTTCCTTATGTTAACCTGCTGTTTGTCCAAAAGGTTTAAAAATAGACAACATTTGTTGTATGTGGTCTTGTTGAATTCCCCCAATCACACCAATAGGAGATAAAAAGTAATGAGAACTGAAATAGGATGTCTCTTGCACCAAATATGCTTCACATATAGACCCTTCCACGTTTTTCTTATTCTTCACAATTTATTTTTATTTAAAAACCTAAGTAAAATATGTAACACCAATTATTAGGTACATCATAAAATGATATTAGTATATCAAGATACAAAACATTGTTACCTTTCAAATGGATACATCTAACGATATTGGACTGGTCCCCCCAACATAACTTCACAAGGCAAATGAATTGGTAGGTGCTCCATAGAGTCAAAGAAAGCAGGCGAAAATATACGCTCTAACTTGCACAATATTACAAGAATATTTTGTTCCATTTGCAATAAATGATCTTCATGTAATATTGTTGAACACAATTCTCTAAAGAATTGGCTGACTTCTGTTAAAGGCTTCCATATTGGTTCAGAAGAGCTCTCAATGCTATTGGAAGTAGACATTCCATAAAAATGTGACAATCATGACTTTTCATCCCAAAATTTTTTGTAGAATTTGTATCCACACATCTAGCAATATTGGAAGCATAACCATCAGGCATTTTCAACCTCTTCACCCATTCACACACATCATTCTTTTGCTCCTTTGATAAAAAAATTTGGCTTTAGGCTTTATATAGTTTCCATTAGAATTTATTTTCAAAAATAACTCCTTTCTATGACAATGCTCTAGTAAGTCCAACCGTGCATTTTCATTATCTTTAGTTTTCTCTTTGGTGTCCATAACAGTATGAAACACATTTTCAAAGACATTTTTTTTTGTATGCAGAACATCAAGATTATGTCTTAATAATTTGTGTTTCCAATATGGAAAATCCCAAAATATGCTTCTTTTGGTCCAATTATGGGATCTTCCATGACCTGGAACATTGCATATCCTTACTTCAGTTGATTTAGGGATGCCATAAACCATTTGCCACACGTGTTCGCCACTTAACCTAGAAGGTGCATCATATTTCTCAATCCTATTTTTAGCAAAATGCATCCTTATTTCTCCTAAAAGTATATGATTATGAGGTAAAAACTGACGATGACAATCAAACCAAGATATTTTATTTCCATTATCCAGTCTGAAAGCTTTTGTCTTTTTCATACATATTGGACATGCAAATTTTCTAGCAGTACTCCACCCAGACAACATCCCATAGGTTGGAAAATCATTTATTGTCCACATCAGTGCAGCTCTTAATTTAAAATTTTGCTTTCTTGAAGCATCATATGTTATTACACCATCATTCCATAATTGTTGTAATTCATCTATCAATGGATGCTTTTATTATTGAAAGTTTGGTACTATTATTTAAGTATTTGTAATTATTTTTATTTTAATATTTTAATATTTAGTATTTTAAACCATTTTAACTATTGATAAATTTTAGTATGATAAAATTTAGCTTATAAATAAAAAATATTTTTTTTCTTCTAATTTTATGTATTTTTATTTTTTAAAAATTTATTTTTTTGAACCATTATTTAGGCCCTCGGACCGGTCCGTTATCTGCGGATTTTGGCGGGCCGGATACGGACTTAAAAAATAAGTCCATTTATTTTACGGACTGGATCCGGCCTGTATAAAATGCGGGTTTTACGGACCAGGCCTTAAACGGGCCAGACCAGTCCGTATACCCACCCCTAGGAATGACATTCTCTAGGTGACTCGACTCTTTCATAAACTTCATTACATCATTGAAATAAGCCTGAGATATGTTGTGTTTAGATTTTAAACTCAACATTGTGAGAGCAACAGACAACTCTGATGTACTTTTACATCCTGGCCACAATGGTTGTTGAGTTGAATTCAACATTTCAT